AAAAAAAAAAAAAAAAAAGATTCAGAAAGACTGAGCAAAAGAATCTCTGACTGAATTTTCCACAAGCATGAAAAGATAAAATAAGACTTCCTGCAGCAATGGAAATTTGCTATAAAATTTTAACTGTGATGGCTAGGGTGTTTTTTTTAACAAAAAATCATAAGTGAAATATTTGTTCCCAAGAAAATATATTTCATCTATTGAAGCCCATTTCTGCCACATGAATGTAAAAAAATAATGCCAATTACAAAGTCATAATTATGAGATATTCAACTTTTAAATTATATCATAACTATGACAAGGGGCGTCAGCTGACCCAATACTATACAGGGGCACAATAGGGCACAAAAAATAAATGCAAGTGCGCACAGCGCGCAAGCTAAACATTTATGCACAATTTATCTTCAATAAATATCTGTCAGCAAACATGAACTTGAAAACTTGGAGAGTTCTCCTCTGAACTCCGCTGTGAGAGAGCGAAAAATTTATTTAAAAAATCCATGCCCCAGGCACTGCAGATCCACAATGGGGCACGTGCCCCTGTGAAAAAGGGTCTGCCGACACCGATGACTTAGAAGGTTGAAATTATGACTTTGGCTTTCTATTTGGCATAGTTTTTATTTTCATGTGGAGGAAACAGGATTCCAAATTAATCTGATAAAACTCATCCAGGACAGAAAATTTGATAATATTGGAAAACAATTTTCTCCAACTTTCAAAGGAAATAGATACTTTACACTGACATGGCTTCTGTGTCACAACTTAATAAAAAAATAAAATATATTTGATGTCATCAACTCACAATAAGAGCACAAAAAAAAAGATCTATTTTATTTACAAAAATATAGATAGCTAATCATAAAAATCTGTCTTCAGTTTAATTAATTACAGAGTTGTAGGGAGTCTCAGTACAAACCTAGACTTGTCTCTACCCCAGATACCCTAAGGCAGGCATCCCCAAAGTCGGTCCTCGGGGCCCGCTGTCCTGCAGGTTTTAGAGGTTTCTTTGCTCCAGCACAGCTGATTTTAATTGAAAGCTGATTAACAGGCTTTTGGTCTACTGCAATCATTATAACCAGCTGTGCTGAAGCAGAGAAACCTCTAAAACCTGCAGGACAGGGAGCCTTGAGGACCGAGTTTGGGAATGCCTGCCCTAAGGTGTTCAAAAGCAGGCATAAAGCAGTCCTTCCAACATGTCCTGGGCTGCTTTGTGGGCTTTCTTCCACTGGGTAGCTCCAGCAGGCAC